AAAAGTAAATAACCAAAGTACCATGTCCATAATTCTTAACTTAATGGAAGTACTTAAAAATTACATCAACCTAAAGCCAACGAAAGACAACATACTCAAACCACATAATTTAATTTTAGTCTAGACAAAAAGAACGCAACAAGAAAAATTCTTTTCAGTTTTATGTTTTCACCACATAACATAAGTCAGCTGAATTAATCCACAAAAGTTATAAACAGAGCAAGATCCAGCATGTAGGGCCAATGGACATGTTCGAACCATATCAACATTCAGAATCAGCTGGGCCGGCCGAAAAAGAAAAAGGTTTGGGCCTATTCTTCATGACACGATCCAGCCCAGCCCATTTATAGAGTTGAGTTGACTCATTGACATTTGACACATCCTACATGTATTTATTTTAAAACACATTGATATGGGATATTATATACACAAGGCTAAATCGGTCTGCTGTGTCGGTCGAGAAGGTTAAACCAAGAGGGAGCCAAGCCAAAAGGCGGGAAGATCGAACATTTAGGGAATCGACCAGGCAGGTGGTCGACCAGTCCATCGCACGACCAGACTAACGATCGAGCAACCCATCGCTCGACCAGATACATGATCGGGCAACCTGTTCGACCTCAACAGGTCGATCGCTTCGAGGAACCAACAGTCGGCCTAGCCATGGGCGCGTGTATCACGAGCGCGTGTAAGAGCCTCTAACTGAGTCCCAGGAGAATATTTACCCCATGTGCAGGGGGGATACGTGTCGACGATGTATTGGGTGATAGCGATAACCACCTCTGACAGCTCCCAACGCCCCGCGCCACCTTTGACATGTGCGCGGCGTGTCAGAGTACGGACGAGCAGCTTGGGCAGCCAGCTTATCCTTATCCGGGCAGCTATTAGGGCAGGTATCTCACCCCTATATAAAGGGGGTGAGCCTTTCTCCTTGAACACATTCTATTTTCCATACTTCACTTCAGTATACTCATATACGTACTGACTTAAGCATCGGAGGCTCTTCACCGGACACAACCCCCGGTGTGAGAGTTATTTGCAGGTTTCCGGCGTTCTACCGGCAAGGACCCAAATCTATCCGTTCAAACCGGACCAGGACGCTTACACTTGTATTATTGGCGCCGTCTGTGGGGATTCCTTGTTCAAAAAGTTGTGTTTGAAGCTCAGCTATGGCGGACGGAATTCCTAAAAACTTGCAGTCGACGTTCGACGAAGCTTGGACGACGACCAGGCCGTTGGGGCACGGCCCTCCTCCGGGCTTTTCCGGCCTATCGCAGACTCTGGTCACTCCCACACCTAACTTTCAAGGTGTAGGAGTGACGACGGCGATTCCCGGAGGAGATGCCAGCTCCAGTCAGGCCCAGGAGGCTCGTGTAGCAGCAGCAGCGGCGATGCCACCACCACCACCACCACCAGATCCAACACAAGGGCAGGGAAGAGTGCTGGCGCAAGGAGGAGTGCCACCACAGGCAGCCATACAAGCCCCCTGCCAACAAATGGTGGCAATGACCCGAGAGGAGATGCAAAGGATAGCAGCGGCCGCGGCGGCGCAGGCGGTGCAACAAGTTGCGAGTCATACATATCATGCCACCACTGCGCCGACCACAGTGGCCGGAAGCTGTGTCTAGTTATGGAGAAGGAGGAGCTGGAAGAGATCGGGCAATGGAGAGGATGGCGGAGCAGTTGCGCCAGCTGCAAGACAAGGTGGAGGAGAGGCCAGAGAGGAGAGCTCGAGGACATCCCTTTTCAAGGGAGATTCTCGCTGCTCCTTTGGCAAATAATTTCAAGGAGACCAACTTGGTGTATGATGGGTCATCTGACCCATCGAGGCATGTGAGGACCTTTGAAAATATGGCTGTGTTGCATGGGTACTCTGATTCTGTTTGTTGCAGGACATTTTTATCGACCCTGCGTGGAGGAGCACTCGATAGGTTTCATCAACTTCCCCCTGGGTCGATTGCGAGCTTTGAGGACTTTACTGGCAAGCTTATCAATCAATATTCGAGCGCGGTGGTGCAGGAGAAAACGTATTTGACTTTGATGGCGATGAGGCAGGGGGAGAAGGAATCATTGAAGAAGTATGTTGCTCGATATAACCAAACATGTTTAGAGGTGCACTCGGCTTTGGACGAGGTGAAGGCGGGTGGATTGATAAGGATTCTTCGAGCAGGGCCTTGTCGAACTTCCCTGGCAAAAACCCCTGCTCGATCATATGAGGATGTTCTGAAGCGGTGCAAGAAGTATGTTAACTTGGAGGAAATGGAGATGGAGTTTGCAAAGTTGGAGGGAGTGGCTCAACCAGAGCCAAAAAAGGATAAAAGTCCGCAGAGGGGGAGATCGCCGAGGAGGAATTCGCCCAAACGGAGTGGGCAGAAGAGGGCATCACCCCGAAGAGAGAGTCGAGATTCGAAAAGGGAGAAGAGAGATGAGTGGCAGAGGAGGCCGATGTTGTTCGAGAGACAGAGATACCACACTTTTACGCCCTTGAGGAAAGACATGACAGAGGTCCTCGAGGCCATGGAGCAGAAGATGCCGAGTGAGGATGTGACTTGGCCGAAGACAAGGTTTACAGGCCCAATTCGACCTAGGTCGGATATTTACTGTCGCTTTCACCGAGATTATGGTCACACCACGGAGAATTGCAGACATTTGAAAGATGGGATCGAGAGGCTGATTCGAGCGGGGTATTTGAAAGAGGATTTCGTATTTACCTAGGTTGGATATTTACTGTCGCTTTCACCCTTCCCATGCTGCCTACCATATCCTTGGTCATGTCACCCTTCCCATGCTGCCACTCGGAATCAATCAAAGCTTGAAATTTTTGAATCAAGAGGATTTATCGGGTTGTATTGTAGGATGTAGGTAAAGGTAAGGATATATAAATAGACAAGAAGCTCAAATACACAATTGAAATTCTCGAGTAATAGAATACTCGAATGTCCGCCACTCGCCCATACCGTCCACCAATGTCTCCACAAATAACACCTATATGCTCCAATGGAATTGCAATATTGCTTGAATTATTACACAATTTTTTTTTTTATTTGGAGAGTTACTATTTCCGAACAAGCTTGAATCGTAAGGACAATATTCCTTAGGTTTAAACATTGGAGGTCAAACAAGTGTCCTAAGGTGGTTTCCCATTACTCATTACTTGTTAAAATGAATAACAAGTAAGCAGAGTAGAATCCAATCGATTCATCTTGCGATCTCTCATGTATTTTATTTTTTATTTTTATATATATTTTTTTATTATTTTTTTTTATATTGGTCAAGCAATAAAACGCAACTCAATTTTTACCTCGTTCAAAAATATCGCCACTTCACCAATCGAAACTCAATACCTGTCAACAATCAGATATATATATATATATGGCTTACAAGAAAAGGCTTCGAGTTCAAACGGGCTACTAGCGGAAAATGTATTTTTACGGTCAAGAACAAGGCAAAACGAGCTAACAACAAAACGCCTCAATCATTTTTGTAATTTCAAACTTAAACCAATTCTTTTCAAATAGAGTCAAGGCAAGTTCTAATCATTCGAGAATACAACCAATATCTCTCAAGAAAGAAAAGTAAGGATCAAAACCTCACAAGGTAAATAAATGTCAATTAAAGCAATCAAGTAAATATCGAGGCAATGATAAATACGTCTGTCATCACAACTTCTCAATTTCATCAAACATTTATCGACAAATCATATAATTCATCGATACCAAATGCTCGAAAACACGACAACCTACCACATAAACATGCAAAATCCACGGCGGAGTTGCCGACTCCCCCGCACTTAAAATAATGCAATGTCCTCATTGCATCAACACATAAATGAAAATAAAAACAAAAAAAAAACTGGGAATTAAAACAAGAAAAAGAAAAGAGTGTGCAAACCGAAATAGCCTCGATGGAAATAAGCATTCACGTTCCAGCCTTCCGCCCCCGATCAACCGATCCTCGATATATCCTGTCAAGAAAACCAATCTCCACAAACTCCCATTATTCAAAAAAAAAATAAAATAAAATAAAATAAAAACATAAATGAAACACACACGAAAGCAGTAAATTGCTTGGGTTGCCTCCCAAGAAGCGCTTGTTTAACGTCATTAGCTTGACGAAACCTGTACAAATCAACCGGGGTCTAAAAAGAAGTGTCGATCATGCCATGCTTTCGTATTCTCGAGAAGCAGCAGCATGGGAAGGGTGACATGACCAAGGATATGGTAGGCTCGAGTGGCAATGTTCTTGTGGAACCGAGCGTACGCATCACGGATGGTAACGAAACGACCTATCGCTCTTCTCGACAAAATTCCACAGTCATCCTCCCAAAGCACGAGAATATTCGTGGAACATGTTGAGCTAAATGGGGCCTTCTCGACTGTGAGAAGAGATGACTCGAGTGAGGGACTTTCGAATTCGGGAACATGAGTTTCCTCTTTCACTATATCATCCTCAATCTTCGGGAGTGCATCCTCCTCATCTTCAGTCTCGTCCACGTGGATTCTGCATTCAATCTT